GCACACTTGACTATGAACATACGTAATCACTGGTAAACATATGTGCACCTGATTATATGCTATCTTGACTATTCCCTAGGAGTTTCTTGAGGTCATTCCTGCCTCCTGTCCAATAGCTTTGGAAGTCCAATTTCAGCTTCTCACCTCCACCCTTACAGCTTGACTCCAAACCTGACAAAGAGCCTCTGGGGCTTGGTGGTATGCAGAGTATCCATGCTGCTAGTGGAATGTGTTCCCTGGTATCTGGAGAATGTATGAGTAAACAAGAGTGTGGCACGTGCATGTATGTATACAGCCAGGGCTCCTGCCCAACATCACAGGGCTGCCACAGGCTGTAAAAGAATATTCTCACATATCAATTTTTTTACTTGAGGGAAAGCACCCTTTCTTTCTTTCTTTCTTTCTTTTTTTTTTTACTGTTTATCTTTATTTTTGAGAGAGAAAGAGAGACAGAGCGTGAGTGGGGGAGAGGCAGAGAGAGAGGGAGACAGAATCCGAAGCAGACTCTGAGCTAAGCAGGCTCCAGGTTCAGAGCTGTCCGTACAGAGCCTGATGTGGGGCTCGAACCAATGAACCGTGAGATAATGACCTGAGCCAAAGTCAGACACTTAACTGACTGAGTCACCCAGGTGCCCCGAAAGCACCCTTTCTAATTAGCACAAAGGTGCAATAACAACTAATAGTGACCATGGCCCAAGTAATATAGTTGCAAAGATGGTGGGAAGCTTTATTGTCCACTGGTATATCCTACACATTTGCTGATTTTGTGAATTCCCAATTAGAATTTTTTTCTTTCAGCTTAGAGTTTTTTTCTTTCAGCTTAAACTTTGGCTTTGATCCTTCTAAAGGGCAAAGTCCTCTGAAGGCTACAACTTAGAGCTCATGTCTGGCCCTCATGACTTCTATGATTAAATAAGTAAGTATGGTGGTGCTGAGTGGCTCAGTCAGTTAGGCATCCGACTTCGGCTCAGGTCATGATCTCAGGGTTTGTGAGTTTGAGCCCTGTGTCTGGCTCTGCACTGGTGGTGCAGAGCCTGCTTGGGATTCTTTCTCTCTGCCTTTCCCCTGCTTGTGCACTCTCTTTCTCTCTCTCTCAAAATAAATAAATAAACTTTAAGTGTGGGGTGGAGCTTGAGAATTGGCCTTTCTAACCGGTTTCCAGGTGATCACGAGGCAGCTGGTCTGGGGCCGCACTCACGGAATTTCTGAGCAAGAGTCTAGGAAGGCTGCCTTTTGTGCTCGACCATTCTGCTGCAGACAGACACTGATCCTGGACTGCCTTGCTAGACTCTGTGGGTGCTGAGCCTGGCTGGCACAGTTTTGCCCAGTGGCTGAAGGCCTCTAGTTAAAGGGTTTTAAGCTCCTTGGCTAAAAGATGCCCTGTAACACAAAGTGCGGGCGAGTAACTCAGATGCCTGCAGCTCCCATTATTAGCCTTTGCCTCTGGCAGGTCTCCAGATGCAGTACCACAGCTGGATATATTCCTTAATAAGAGAGTGGTTACACTCTCTTATTCTTGGAATTTGACTGCACAGAGCTCTCTGCTTTATTATCTCTACTCGATGACAAATTGGTGCAGCCTGAAATGGAATCTCCAGGCTATAGGTAATAGATGTGAAAGCCCTTCGAAGAGTAAAGAGCGCTGTGCAAATGTAAGGCATTATTATTATTATGGAGAAAAAGGGATCTATATTTGTATTGCTTTTTCAAAAAATTTGGGTCGGACAGAAACTAAATAGGGCTTGATGACTGATGAATCCTTGAGGCTATGCACGTAGAGGAAAGTTATCTATCAGGCCCTGGTGTTAAAGTGAAGACAATAAGATAATTGTTGGTTTTTGACTTGACCGCAGCCTTAGCAATAGCTGCTTTGTGGTTCAAAAGTCAAAAGGACTTCTGGAAGAGTCTAGATTACTCCTATTACCACGGTGGTACATGTGTGCATCCAGATAAGAAATGTTTAAGGTACATTTAAGCCAACTGGTTTATGATTGAAGCATGAGAGTTCCCCCAAAATGGCCTGTCCCATGAGAGAAAAATGGATCAAGGTAAATGCAGACAACATTCGCTGCATTCTGTCTCCTGCCCTACATCTCCCAACACAGATGCCTCGAGGCAGTAAGAATCACAACCATCACCATTAATCGCAGAGAACCTGGTGCTACATCACTTAGCTATGAATAAAGGAAATGACCTAGCGCTTCCTGCAGTTATTGAAGGGAGGCATTGTGGAGAGAGGTACCATTGCTTTTCTGGGGTCTGCATACCTGCAGTGGTTTCCCTGTCTTTAGTTAGTTGGAGCTTACATTTAACTTCTCCGCATGGCCTCATTTTTACCTCAAACACAGAGTGTCCGTGTGGTGGAGGGTAATGGGGGAGGAACAAAGCATGTTTGAGTTGATGGTCAGATTAAAAACCCTGTGTATGGAAGAGCCTTTGCTCTGAAGGTGTTGGCAACTAAGTCTTATCACCCCCTCTTCCTTTTCTTTCCAGGGTGATTGGGTGTGGCTGAAGAAGTTCCCCTCTGGAGGTTTTGGAGACATTAAGTCCATCAAAGCACGTGCAAGTAATATGTTTGAAATGGTATGAGAAACCCTCATTTACCTACTCAAACCAATCCTTTTTCCAGAGCAACGAACACCAGCTGTTCGGAAGTCCCCTTAACAAATCAGTGCAGGGAAACTGCAGGATTGCTATTGGCTTGATATGACTGGGTGATGCTGTGAAGGAAGAATGTATGGGCTCTGAAGTCAAAGGGACATGAAGGATTCAATTCTCAGCTCTACCAGTTCAGAGCTGTTTTAACTTGGGCAAGTCACCTACATTCCCTGGGCCTTACTTTCCTTGTTTGTAAAAAAA